TCTTCATTTTCTTTTTCAATAGATAAAAGTCCTTCAGTATCAAGTACTAATAATTTACTTGAATTTGGATATTTTGTTTTAAAAAGTGATATAGAGAATGCTAATGAAATGGCCATAAAAGTATTTAACAATATGAAAAATGAATGTTTATCTACGATAGAAAGTGAATACAAAACGCTCATGAAAGATGGTACTCGTCTTAATGCAGATAAATTAGTTGACGAATCGGATAAAGTTTTCCAAAAATCAAATGCAAAGGATGAAATTTTTGAATATATAACAAATATGCTTAAGTATATGAAAAAGGTTTATTCAAATATATATGAAAGTAAAGATACAGAAGTACAACAACAGTGTAACAAAAAATATACTGAACTATATAATCAAGATTATAAAATTTTAATTGAAATTTTAGATGAATTAGAAAATATATTCATTAATAATACAATCACTGTTAATGATGAAAATTATTTTACAAAAATGTTCAAAGTCTATTTAGAAGGAAATTCTGTTGAATTAGTAGAAATAAATAAACAAGTATCATTGCCTATTATTATGACAAATTTAAAAAAATTACGTCATTCAAACAATCTATTTAAAAATATATCGATTTTAATTTATAAAATAAGTAATCCAAAAATATTTATAACTGGTTTTAAAAATACACTTAAATCAGAAAATGCCAAATATTGTCCTAAGCTCATTTTATCAAACAGTCTACAAACAGAAAAAGATAATATTAAAGCGGAAAATTTAACTACAGCATTAGGATGCATTGGACAATGCCCATATTGTGGTTGCAAATGTACAGTAAATATGGAAAAACACGATGCACATCAGTCAACCAAACATCGATTATTGGCATTTAATGGTTCATTTGAATTGCTTGCAGGTAATAAAAAAGGTTTTGTTTTTGATTTATGCAATAGTGAATATAATCTAACACAAAGTAAATGGAAAGAACGTTCACAAGGTCAACTTTCAATTCAAGATAATCCATCTATCAAAGAAAGAATGAGTACATATACAGTTGGCCAAGGTGAAGTCACAATAACATTAGCTTGGCATGATAGTAATGATTTGGATTTACATGTTACTTGTCCTTGTGGAACTGACATGTACTTTGGAAATCCTCGATGCTCCAATTGTTCAGGATATTTAGATAGAGACATGAATGTCTGCTACTGTCCGTCTGGTTGTCCGAATAATAAATGTTCTGCCACAGAGCCTATAGAAAATTGTTTTTTTAAACAAGCCAAAATAAATTTTTTTTTTTTATGTTTTTTTAAACAATAAAAAATAAAAAAAAATGGAATATATTCAGCATCCGTAAATTATTACAGTGGACCCAAAGGCAAGGGTAAAACATTTTCAAATTTTGAACTTAGAGTATCGACTCATAAAGGAGGTAATGTACAAACGTATAACGGTGCAGTTTATTCCTCTGGTGAGAAAAAATTTGTTAAAGTTGGCGACTATGAACATGGTGGATCTATTAGTTTTCTTGAACATATCAAAGAAAATTTCAAAACTTGGAGTAATATTAGTATAATTAAAGATACCCATTGGGAAAATATGTTAAGAAAAGCATGGTGTCAAGTTGCTTCAAAAATGAGTGAACGGTATGAATTCGAAAATAATACCCCAAGGGAATGGCACAATTTGACCAGATCATAGAATTTTAACACTATAATGTATTTTTTTCATATATCAGAAACCAACAGAATCGATCCCAGAGGTCGTTCATAGCTACTCTCTGATTCCTCATAGTCGAATGCCTATTCCATATCATTTCATCCTATCCAGTTGAGCCAAGTAAGGGTCGCTAGCCCACTGATTCTCCAACGGACTCATGGAGCTGTTCAGCTGCTGTTCTACAGTTTTTAACAGTGTTGATCACTCCCTGCACATATACTCAAGGTGGCTCTAACTTGACATTAGCAACTTATATCTGCGAATGACTTTCGATGACTTCGAATCAAAGACATTCTATTTCGCAAGGAGCAGAGACAGAGCGTGACAGATGGCGCACCAAATCGAATGTTCAGATAAATAGCTTTGAGATCTGTGAATAAATGGAGCAAACAATCTATTTCTGTCAATTTTTGTTAGCTTTCAGAAAAAGATAATTCAATTATACCGGGTTACTATCAGGTATTAACAGCCGCACAGTTTATTCCTATAGGCTTATAGGATAGCTACGTACAAGTTATAACATCCTGACTAATTTGTTTATTTGTTCACCTATCTGTAGGAGAACTTCAGAATAAATTTGTAAAAATATTCTGAAATTTTTGGTTGCATATCAAACTCGCGTTTTCAATAACTGATTTCTTTTCTGATGCAGCTCCTTTTTATTAACCGCAATATCAGTGCACATGCATATGGTAGCTCGGTGTTGATATATAAGATTTCAAAAGAAAAGATTCAGAATTACTCTTTATTAATACCCGATTTAACAGTTCGACGTAAGTCTTAGGTAAAAACGGGTAGATAGGAAAAATACCAGAGAACAAGGGAAAAGAATAAGCGAAAGAACACTGCCGTCGTAGTTTTTGAGATTTTGACGAAAAACCCGATTTGGGCCTTTTTTCCCAATAGGTAGATTTTTAGCAAAGTAAAATGGAGAATCACTTCCAAATAGATTTCTAGACAACTTTCAATTTTCCACAAAAATCTAAGTCGAAAAGTACGAAAAAAATAAAAGTCGTCCAGAAATCCTGAAATACACATCAATCAATTTAGTTTTTGATGCTGATTCCAAAAATGACATTGGTTTTACAAAAAAAATGGAAGTTTGACGGTGAAATCTGCAAAATACAAGTGAATTTCCTTGTTTTTTGCTATCTACTTCAAAAAGTTATTTTAGAGACTTGTGAAAAACCCGGTTTTCTAGAAAACCGAGTGATCTTAGAGTTTGTTTCAGAAGCCTTTCAACCATATCATTAGATAGCCTTTTCCATTCTCCTTAAAGTAACATGCTAGCCAAATTTTTACGATGTTGTATCAAACAGTGGCATAGAAAATACGATACAGTTCGAAAACGGCTTTAACGCGACTGACTTTATATTCCTAATGTTAAGAAGCCTGTAACTCGGCTGTCCACGATCAGAGGAACCTAGCCAGCAGGTTTTTTTACCAGGGGGCATGAAAATGGTTTTTTTGAGATGCTGGTTTGGATCACAGCGAAAAACTACATCAGACTGGCGCATATGAGCTTGATCTGAGAGGGGGACGATTATTATTTTTTTATTTTGATGAAAATAATCAAAAATGAATTATTTCACTCAGAAGCGGGCAAGTGTGAACATTTCGAGGTCCAAGTCCACTGGACCTTAAATCTAAGAAAAGTCCAAATTCGAGTTCGAATCGAGGCGCTTCATTGCAGATTTTGCACTATAAGCACGTCCTAATCATATATGACGGTTAAATAAATTTTGTCCATATGCTGATGCATGCTTGAAAAAAGATTAATAAATTAGGTATAAGGTTACACTTATTCCGTTGTTGAGTGTAGTAGATTTTAACTTTTTGGACTCCAATGGACTTGATAAAAGAACTCCCCAAGTCCAAGTCTGCTAAAAAAAGCTTCAAGTTCGGACTTGGACTTGTCAACCTCTGATCTCACTTAAACCCGGTGACTAAACAGAGCGACATATGGTTCTATTTTGTCCCAGCACATCCAGTTTTCTAGGTTGGCGCTCTATGGATGTCCAAAGAAAAAAAGCAGTTCATTTTTCGACTTTAATCAATTCTAAATAACTTGGCATGATTTTGTACGAAAATTATGACTTATGAATTGATTTACCGTGAGTCGGAAAAGTCAGATATTAGATTTTATTAGTTATTGACAATTTAAAGGACATAGGTAGACCTGTGTCGGCAGAGTGTGAAAGTATATGATTTTTCTAGATAATCAATTAAACTTAAATAAATTAATATCTGTCAACGCTCTGGCAATGTTTATTAGACGATGTACATTAAACGGCTTGGTCACGTAACGCGACACGCCGCTAATCAGGATTTCAAAAAAGTGTTTTCTTCTGAGAACGGCGATGAGCACATCACTAGGTGCAGTTTTTCGGGCTGATTACGAATATTACCTTTAAAAAAAATTAATTTCAATGCAAAAAAATTAAATTTAAGATTATTAAAACGTTTAATTTCAACGTTTTGGTCTAGAACTTTTTAAAAATTTTTAAATTTACGCTACTTGATAGAAAATTAAATTATCTACAAAATGGCACATTTTGGTTTTTCATTCGACTGTAAGAACAAAAACTAAACCTTTTCGAAGGTTCATGGTTTCAGAAAAGTTTACAAGCGGGGGAAAAGGTCTTGTGGCTTTAATGTTCGTATAAAACGACAGATATCCTCAACTCTCTGGAAAATAAGAAAATCAAGTCATTTAGAGGTCATGAAGTACATCAAAACTCAGTGCCAAAAAAATGTGTCACACCGTTACCCAAAAATGTCACACTGTTACTTTTTTAAAATCAGTTTTTTGTCCTGGCTGGAAGCTTCTACAAAAAACTTTTTTACTTTTGTATAGACCGAACAGTTGGCTACAAATTTTCTTTGAACGATTTCCTACCAACTCTTACAGTTTCATCACAAAATGCAGATTTATTCGCCTGATTAAAAAGGAAGGGACGTATTGATTTTCTACAGGGACGCAAAAACGAGTATAGATGAAATTTGAGATTTGATGGCAAAGAGTTTGTCTAGGTAAACAGACAGGAGTGCTCAATGTTTGGTTGAATGTCAATTGGTTAAATAGGCTTAGAGATATTTTACAGAAGGCTCTCCGCTTAAAAGACAAAGGCCTATTTTTAAATACCTTCAGATGAATGTGTTTGTCTAGCCTGATTACTTTCTGAGTGTTACATAATTATTAGGGTTATACGAAATAGACGTGAGTGAGTGGCTAAAGTGACTCCTTTATGTGACACAGAACAAGAAAGAGAAAAAAAGATGGCGTCGACGATAGAAACGAAAAAGTAGTATAAGTGACACTGATCGCGTTCGTGTGAGTATTCTTGCAAGATTCTTGTTTCTTGCATGTCGGACACGTATCTTGTAAAATATTTTACATGTATTTTTATTACAAGAACCTTGCAGGAAATCCCTTTCATACTACCTCATACTACCAAAAAATATTCATACTACCTCAGACGACATCGTTTAGAAATCGCCACCCCGTCGATGAAATTCTGGATTCGCCCCTGGAACCACGCTACTTTTACCTCGAACGCAGACGAATGGCGTACGCGCGACGCGACTACGCAAGACTGTATTAGTCATGTCGTAGGCTATTATTAAGATGAGATAAGATTTTGAAACTTTTTCAAAAAATCAGTAAGAGTTATATATCATGCGCGCAAGCAAAACAAAACGGGGAATAGGATTTGCACTGGAGAACCGCCGCAACGCTGTATCCTGCCGCGATCGTAAGAGAAATATACGATCGCGACGTGACAACTTTTTCTTACAGCGATCGCGCTCGGACGAGGAAAGATTGTTGAGCATCACAACTGTACTTTTGAGAGTAAGAATATGTCTGTATATACATCATGATAACAAAGGGATCAGAAAACATCGAACCATATAGATAGATAAAGTAAAGAGAACAGAGACCGTCAAACGAGACATGAATAGATAAAGTAAGGAGAACAGAGAAGGTCGAATCGATAAAGAGAATAGACAAGATAGAACGATACATGAATAGATATCGAACCACATATAAAAGATCGAACTATATATATAATGAACGCTCTAGAAGAAAAGGAGAAGTGATGGATGTGTACCCTGACATGTTCGTCAGTGCAGTTTCAAATAAAATGACTACACTTTATTCCATACAATGATCATTGTAAGTCGACCATTTTGCTTCATAATCTACTTGTAATTCGTTCCGAATACCTACCTACGCATGTGAGAAAAAACGTATAAAAAAGATCTGCCAGGAATGGGGATCGAACCCATGCTCACTATTGTGAATTGGATCTTAAGTCCAACGCCTTAACCACTCGGCCATCCTGGCTCTGTCTAACCATCTGTACATTTTATGCACATCGTTATTTCTTCATGTGTCCTTTACTCTTTCTTCAGGGCTGTTCCTATCTGTTCTTTCAAACCTGAAATGTCGTGATAGAAACTGGTATCAATTTTGTCTCTTTTCATAGAGATAGCGTATTCGATTCGAGGAGTGATACGCATGATTATGTTAAAAAGGTCATAAATAGCTGTTGCGAAAGGATTAGTGGAAAGGAATAAAAACTAGAATTAACAGAAAAGTCGTTCTTTCTGTTCTGTATAGAATGAAAAGAGACAAAACTGATATGACATTTCCGGTTTGAGAGAACAAATAGC